CAGTGGTTGCACCATTTTACACTCCCACGAACAGTGAATAAGGGTTCCAGTTTCTCCACAACCTCGCCAGCATTTGTTGCTTGCTGTTTTGTTAAATTTTGCTATTCTTACTGGGGTGAGATGATATCTCATAGTTGTTTTGCATCTCTCTCAGAGCTAGGAATTTTGAAGATTTCTACATGTACTTGTTGGCCATCGGAATGTCTTCTTTGGTGAGGTGTCTGTTCATATCCTATGCCTACTTTTCAATTGGATTATTTACCATTATATTGTTGTGGTTCTCAAGTCTTTTATAAATTCTAGATATAAGTCTCTTATCTGACATGTCATTGCCAAATACTTTTTCCCCAGTCTGTGGCTTCCCTTTTTACGCTGTTGGAGAAGTTTTTGGATGTGCATGGGGATTTGATTCTTAGAAGGTCCCATGCATCTATTTTACCTCCTCCTAGTTGCAGATTTTTCAGGATACTTGGAAGACTGTTTATGTTGTGAATTTGGACTACTAGAGTTCAAAGCAAGACTTTTAAGACCTGCCACAGTGCCACTGCCTAATGACTTGTTAGGTAATATATTGAATCCTCTACTCTATAAACCTATGAATATAATTTTCAATAAAAAATCTCCACATAAATAGCATGGTTTTATATTAAGAAAAGAATCCTAAACTGATAGAACTATGGTAGAAATGAGAGGTGTATGATTCTGGCTCTTTATTTACTATTTTAAATACTATACCTGCTCTTGATCCAAAGTTCCCGTAACTTTATTTTTTAAATTCTAGAGAGCAGCCAAGTTGAATAGCTGGTATTAATATTAGGCTTTGTGCCAAAAGCTAACAATATGATAAAGAAGCTCAAGCACCTAAAATGAAGAAAATGATGAACAAATCGTTTCAACTTTGCAATGATATTAAAAAAGTCTACAGTATGGACAACATCACATTTTAACAGCACAGCATCTCATCCAGTCTTGGAAAGTCAGGAAGGAGGAGACAATAAGCAAAAACTAAAAAAGGAAAACTCATTGCCATTGAGTTGGAATTGATTCAGGGCTGACCAAAGAAGAATCAATATCTTTGAATTATGGTGTTGGTGAAGAATATTGAATATTGAACATGGACAGCCAATAGAACTTTTTTTATAATTTTTTATTTTTTATTTATTTATTTTATTGTATTTTTTTTTTACAGAGGTTTTGGATTTCCATTCATTCAATAGCCAATAGAACTTTAAAGGCATGGATAGTGAAACTTCATCTTCTTTACTATGAGCATATATTCAGGAGAAACTAGTTCTTAGAGATAGACATCATGCCAGGAAAGGCAGAGGGTAGGCAAAAGAGAGGAAGATTTTCAACAAGATGGATTGATGTGGTCACTACCACCATGGCTTTGACCGTGACAGGGATTGTGAGACCAGTGCAGGATCAGGCGTGGTTCAGATCTGTTGTTCACATGGTTGCTATGAGTCATAGTCAGCTTGATGGCGCCTAAGAAAAACAACATAGCTGCCCCTCCACTGGGTTTCTTTAAATAATAGGTGAAGAGATTGCCTATCTTTCTCTCATGGACTTGCTGGTGGATTGAGACTTCCAGAGACGCTTGAGCTTTAGATTAGCAGTGCAACTTGCTATGGACTATGCCTCCGGAACTGAGTGTTAGCAAATTAAGAGTTCAGGATGAGGAAACAGGAATATTTTAACAAGTTTGTGTCTGATGTGATAAGGATCAAGATCCAAACATGACATATTTAACAAAGTAGAGATTTTGGTAATGTTGTTATAAAACTTTATTTACTGGAATAAAACAAATAAAAGGTCTAATAAGGAAAATTTTATTTCCTCTTTAAAGTAATTCTTAATCTCTGTAGGGAAGCTAAAATGTCTTTCTCCTAAATTTTATAACAATTAAAGAAAAAATGAAGTTAAAAAGTAATGTTTTAGTTTATGACATTTTAACAGCAATGTATAGTTGATATATGCACAACTAGATAGAATTTTAACTAATCTATAATGTTGTTGTTGTTGTTATGTGCCGTCGAGTTGCTTGCGACTCATAGCGACCCTAATCTATAATAGTGTAAGAAAATATTGCCAGTTTAAAATATGACTACAAAGAACCAAGATAATTGAAATTTATCAGGAAAAGTAAGCATCAGAATTTCGGCACCATTATAGCATTTGTATAACATTTTTACAAAGTAGAAAGGCCATGAAAAATGTGACACAAAAATGATATAGTCCAGTGTCAACTACTTCAAGTTATACATTGTTGTATTTAAGCTATTTCCTGAATGAGGATGAACAAGAGGGAAAAGTTTGTTTTGGTTGTTTGGGGTTTTTTTAGTGCTTTAGCCTAAGAATATCTTCTATTATTTACTGGTAGTAGTAAACATGTTCTGAAGGACTTGGATTTTACTATAAAGCTATTTTCCTTTATCTTGGTCCCAGAGTGCTAAGTACTCATAAAGTACCCAGAAACTAAGCAACCTCCATTCAGTTGAGAACTGTGCATTGCCTCTATTAAGGAGCTAGGTTAGTTTTTATTATGTTTGGCACCTCTATTTGTTGTCATTTAACATAACCAGCTGACAGGAATGCTGTCCAACGAAGCCCAAGACTTTGTTGTGCTTGATTTGTCTTACACATGTAAATAGCACCCGCTAGTCATTCACAATAATTTGAGACATGAGTGGAAAACTAGAGGGTTGGCATTTTGTTGTTAGAGAAAACTCACTCTCATGGAAGCAACCTAATATAGCCCTTACATCTAAGTAGTGATAAAATATCACCTATTACGCAATTTATAATTTCTTTTAGAAAGTGACCATCATTTTTACTCTTGGACTGTTGAGATGAACATTTATCATTATCAGCATCTCTCTTTATAGCTCTATTCAAAATTAAACAGAATACTTATGAAGCTTATATAAATAGTAATTTGTCCCAAGGTCTAGGGTCTCATGGGTCTGTTGTACCCTTAGTGAGTGGGGAATAAAAGAATTTTCTTATGTTTATCCCTTTACATTAAAATACAGCCATGTCTTGATGACCCAGCAGAGTGGCAAGCTGTCTGAAGCTGACGAAGCTCTTCTTGAAGTCTTCTTTGTTCAGCTTGCATTCTCTCATTGACCTCTCTGAGGTGTTCCTAAAGGGTAAATAAATGACAGAACTTTAGAGCTTAGACCAATTCATTGACTTTTTCTTACCTAATTTGCTACCACAAAAACAAAACAATATTTTTGACATTTCCTTCCTTCTTTTAATTCATCAATAGTAATGTTGTTGTTGTTGTTAAGTGCTGTTGAGTCATAGATGACTCACAGAGACCTTATGAACAAAAGACCTGGATACTTGTATATATTTCATCCTTTAACCAAGTTCGTAGAGTTTCTGGAGGCAAGCTATTTCAGAGGTGGATGCCACTCCTGCTTCCAAGCTTGTTTTAATCGGGGAGCTTCACCAAACACTGTCCACCATGGGTAACCATTATCACATTTGACATCACTGTCACAGTGTTTAGCATCACAGCAACCACGAGTTACCTCTGTACAGCAAATGGACACACCATTGCTAGAAAGTTTGAAAATTCCTCTTCCTTTGTTAGTGTTCATTTTACCTTGTTTTCCCTACTTTTGTGACTATTCACCAGTTATCTTTCTTTTAATACCAGAAACCTCATCATCTATCTCTGAAATGCTGATGTTTCCAGGCCTCTGCTTCATTCTAAACAACCTCATTTGTAAATCTCGGTGATATCTTGAATGGAAGGCTCATTGTTACACAGGTGAATTTCTGACATATTTATAAAACAGAAGCTCATCCAGCAGCAGGGTGTCTTGGTGACATCTACACTCAAGTGAGATGTTTAAGTTTTAAATGAAGGAACGTGCTCTATAGCTAACCAGTTTTGGTAACAGGAATAGAAGGACAGAGTAATGACACTAAGGACCCCATATTGACCATTTTACCATTCATGGCAAAGATGTAAATGAAAATATCATAGAATAACATTTGAAAAACTAGGTAGGCTGGGCACCCAGAGGGAAAAAATAGGAATTTCATACTAGACTTGTAGAAGCAAAAACCCTACAGATGCTGCTAAATGAGGAAGACAGTTTTAATAATTTGTTACACTTTAGAAAATGAGTATTTAGTTATCTCTTTGGAATCTCAGATTTTTCATCATTTAGAAAAATGGGCACATACTGTTTGTGCCTCACAGTGCAAAGCATGTAAAGGGTATGTACAATACTTGGTAGATAAAAATTATTGCTTATTGACTGACAGTTATACTAAAGAATAGGATGAAACAAAATCAACAAGTTAAAGACTTTCAGTATTAGAGAAGCAAGTCAGAGTAAGGGTGGAGAAACAAAAACATGAAATTAATTAGTAAATTTATCTATGACTAAAGCAAAGGTTGAACAGAGCTGTTAACATGGTAACAGAAAAAAAGACCACAAATTAGAAATATCCTTCATATTTATGTAACAAATTATAGTTCTTACTTCTCTAAGAACCATTTCAAATTATTATTCACTCATTTAATTATCAAAACAATGCTGTAAGCTATGTATTTGTATTATCTCCATTCTACAGAGAGAAAAATGAGCCACAGAGAGGTTAGATAAATTCCCAATCACATAATGGTTATTAAGTAGTGAAAAATTGGAGTCAAATATCAGTTTGAGGATTAGAGTGCATTTGATTTAGACTGTGGTCTTTCCAATCACTTGCTATGCATCACATCTGAGAGCTGGGCAAAGGATAAGGAAGACAGAAGAAGGATTGATGTATGCCTTTGAGATGTCATTTTGGAGAAGAATATTGAATATTCCATGGAAAAAAACAAACAAATGTGTCTTGACGAAAGTGCATCCTTGGAGGCAAAGATGATAAAGCTTGTCTCACATACTTCAGGCATGTTACTAGGAAAGGCTATTGCTTGGAGAGGGACATCATGCTTGGAAAGGTGGAGGGTTAGCAAAAGAGAGGAAGAACCTGAACCAGTTGGGTGAACAGTAATTGCTACAATGGACTTGTCATTGCAATGAGGGAATAAGGATGGCACAGGGTAAGACTGGGTTCAGATATGTTGTTCATAGAGTCACAGTGGATCATACTAGACTTGACAGCACCTAACAACAGCAATAACAAGCACACAATGTGGTTCAGAGTCCTTCTTCTTGTCAGTGTTGAAAATATCATCATTAAAGGAGCTCTGGTGACCTGCTAGAAAGGAGCTGCATTGCCAACTCAAAGGGATACAGTTCAAATCGACCACCTGCACTGTGGGAAAAATATGGATGATCTCCTCTGAAGATTTACAGACTTTGAAAACCCTCTAATGGGTCAGCTATATGTTGGTTCCAACTCCACAAGAAGCAACAATAACAACAACATCATTAACATGAGAAGATTGCAATGAAAATGATCGAATTGCTACCTGGAGTCTGCGTTCCTTCTCCCTCTGTTGCGCTGCCAGCCTATTTGCTCTTTCCCTCTCCATCTGCCTCACTTGTTCCTGGTGGAGTCTTTCCCTCTCCTCCATCATCAGCTGCTGCTCTCTTTGAATCTGCTTCAATCTTTGCGCTTCAGCCTGAGCAGCCTCAGCTCTTTTACGTGCCTCTGAGGAAAAACGCATTGTCACAAACTCATTTAGGACCACAAGTGTCCCTTGCCTCTAATTCCCACCCTTATTGTAGATAAAATTCTCTTGGGTCTGTGCCCGTTGCCTCCCTTCCTCATCCAGATAAATAGATACAACTCCTCTTCAAGTGTTACTTCTGTGGGCTCAGGTTCTGAGAAGCATCTTTGCCATTCCTGCTCTAATTTGATGATCCAGGTGGCCCAGCCTAGTTAATGAAAATATGTAGAAACAACTGGTCTGCTTAGTTATTTTCTATTTCCTCTTACCTTCTTTCTCTTTTTCCCTTGCTGTGAGAGTCAGGTCAGTCTGTAGAATTGTAGCACTCACAGATTCCTTGGATACTAAATACTTCTGCAAAGTATTCTCAGCCTAAAAATGCCAAAAGTGTACCGTTAGAATAAGAGATAGTGATTAGAAATATAGTAAACATCTTTATTTATGTGTCCTCACAACATCATTTCCTACCTCGAAGGGCAACTGTCAAACTATCCCTGTTACAGAGGTGAGGACTTGGTCCAGGCTGGTCTAATAGATATATGCCCTCCAGACACAAAAGATTTGCTCACTTCTGGGATAGTATGGCTATCTGGATTTTTTTTTCCTTTCTTTCTTTTTTTTTTTAACTGAGATGGATGGTGGGGAAAAATTCTGTGTCCTGAAAGTGAGAGCATTAAGGAGTAGGTAAGCTTGGAGCTGTTACCATTGTCTTCAGTGCTATCTAGGATAAGGATACTTAGGTAAAATTTGAGCCAAAAAGAGGAAAAGGAAATATATTCAATGAAGTTAGATAAAGGTGCAAAATCAAACTTTGACATTGTTTGACTTCCTGATTATAACTGTACTCAATCTAAACTAAACCTTTTATTTTTACATTTTGTCAGCATATAAATTAGAGCTTTTTTCCCTTGAGTTTATTTTAGTTGTCAGCTGCCTGTCCTGTGCAACCCAAAAGATTCTGCTTTAATAGAAGTTGCAATAAGGGTCTATTAATTTTGCTGATATTTTAGTTATAAATAATTTTATAGCTATTCTTAGAGCAAAATCTTGCTATAGGAACACTAATATTTGCTGTATAGTAGGTTTTCTGTTTACTATTGAATGAAAATGTAACATAAACTTCATCCGTGTGTCTCTTTATGTGTCTTTCCTCTTGTTCTCACTGATTTTTAAAGAACTCCCATCCCTGTTTCCCATTAGTTTTCCAAACATAATTGACAGAAGTTAGAAAATACCTCAATTCCCTTTCTAGGCTTTTGATAGTAATCATTCTTTAGGCTTTCTGTCCTCTTCAGGTACAGACTGTGCCCTCCAGGTTTAGAATAAGTCCCCTGCCTCACTTCTTCTTCTAGAGGACCGAAGATCTCCTGAAGTAAGGCTGAGCAATGATCAGATGACGCTTTCAGATTCTGTTCTGAAAACTCCTTCTGCTTTTCTTTCAGCTGAATCTTCAAAGAAACAGAAGTCCAAGGAGAAGATGTCAGCAGTCTGTACTCCAGATAACAATTCTGAAACAGAATCTCCTTTTTTAAAAGAAGTTGGAAATCTGAACCCCTTTCTCTCATAGCTGTGATCCTCAGACCACACATCTTTAGTTTCAGGCCCAATCTTTTAAAACAATTCATCGTTACTGAACATTTGTGGTTTTAAGTATTATACTGGACTTGAAATTTCAAAAGAGAAAGTCGTTATTGGAGTAATAATCATACTAATAATGCCATATTTGTTTTTCATTACATCAATTTCTTAGCATTTGGATAGAATGCTAACAACCTAGTCTAGAAGACCTTGATACATTTTTTAGAGGATGTAAGTGGAAGTTTTGGTATTTAATTAATGAAAATAAAAAGAAATACGTAAAAAATATGTTTCAAAAGAATAAGAATATTCAAGAAATTGATCTCACAGAGATAACATGGTATTAGTGGATTATATGTATATAAAAGTTTCAAAATCTAAAGGTCCAAGTAGAGTCTTACCCCCTGTTCCCCCCAAGAATAATAATATCTTGGCCACATAAGTGATTATCTTTGCTTTCCTGTCTAGTAAGAATTGCTTTCTTTAAGTAAGTCTTTAATATTACCCCTCTTTCCATTACAACACCTTTTTTCTTCTGGCTCTAATATCCTTGGGGGAGGACAAAAATTACCTCTAATTCTTTCTGGAACTTTTGGTCCACATCCTTGAAGGAGTTCTTCGTGAAGACCTCGATGGCTTCTCTCTCAACAGACATGTGCAGGTCCAGCAGCTCCTGGAGGGTTTCCGTGGGCAGCTGCATTTTCTGACCCATTTGCTGGTCATAGTGAGCAACGGCCTTTTGCACAGCAGCTGTGTTCTCTATCTGGGCCAAAGCCAGGACTGAATTCTCTATGCTGGGCAGAGTCCCACTGTTGATCGCATTGACATAGGTCAGCACCAAGCTCTCTAAACCTTTATAAGGGTAAATATGCTAGCATTATTTTCAAGATAAGAAGTCATGTTCTATATTGAGTACTTTTCAAAATATTAATTGAACATTGCATAGACTGTACTTTTTAATCATTCTTTACAGTGCTAAAGTAGCTCGGATTAAGTTCCTCTGGGGAATTGTTTGACCAAGAAATCAGAGATTTCACTCCTGGGGAAAAGAGACTATGCTCAGAGTGAAACATGGAAAGAATTCAAGACATATATGTCATTGTCCACATTCCATCCATATCCTATAAAGACATGACATGTTTAAGCAAATATGTATTCATTTTATTAGAGTGGGATAAACCTTTTGCTTCTGTACACTTCCCTGTTTTCAATTTTCCTCAGATTTCTAGTCTTTTCCATTTTCCTTTATTTCTTTCATATTAGTATGACAACACATACATGACTGATGCTCTCAGTAGAATATACATAATATAAGCAAAATGGACCTTCTTCACCTTTACGAACTTTCCTAGGCCTCTTTTCTTGTCCTTAGCATTCTTTACTCAACTTATTTCAATAACACAGGCAAAATTTACAGAGGAGATCAAGAAACATATTGTCTTGGGACGGACTCCAGTCAGGGACCTCTCCAAATTACTGAGGAGCAATGATGACGATTGTTGTTAAGTGTCGTTGAGTCATTTGTGATTCATAGTGACCCTACATATAACAGCTCTAACCATGATCTATCCTGTGCCAACCTTATTGTCTCTGACACACCTACCCCCATTACCACCGTCTCTGAATCAATCCATCTCATTGAGGGTCTTCCTCTCTTGCACTGTCCCTCTACCCTCCCAAGCACGATGACCCTCCAAGGACTGGTCCTTCCTTGCAACATGCCCAGGATATGTCATAAGAAGCCTCAGAATCCTTGCCTCCAAGGAACAGCCTGGTTTCACTTCTCCTGGATAAAACTTTTTGTTCTCCTAGCAGTTCATAGTATATTCATAACTCTTCTCAAGCACCACAGCTGAAAGGCATCAATTCTCCTTCTATCATCCCTATTCATTGCCCAGCTTTCTGATGCATAGCAAGCAATCGTGAAGACCGTGGTCTGGATCAGGTGCACTTTAGTCTCCAGGATGACATCATTCCTCTTCAGTACTCTGGAGAGAGCTTCTAACAGCAGACTTTGCCAATGCAATTTGTCTTTTAATTTCCTGGCTGCTCGTACTAAGAGTGTTGATTGTGGAGCCAAGCAAACCAAAGCTATAAGCCATCTCAATCTCTTCACCGTCTATCGTGATGCTGTTAAATGGCCCCGTGGTGAGAATCTTTGTTTTTATGATGACAATATAAGGACAACAGTGTAACTGATTCAGGCCACGGGGGTCTTTTAAATCACTTGCTATGTATATAGAGCGAGAAAAGAAATAAGGAAAGCAGAAGAATTGATATCTTTTAGCTGTTGTATAGGAAAACAGTACTGAATATTCCATGAACTGCCAAAAGAACAAACAGATGTGTCTTGGAAAAACTACAGTTAGAGTGCTCCTTGGGGGCAAAGATGGTGGAGCTTTGTCTCTCATACTTTGGACATGTTGCTAGGAGACTATTCCTTGGAAAAGGATATTATATTTGCAAAGGTAGAAGGTCAGCAAAAGAGTGGAAGATCCCCAGAGAGATAGAGAGAGCAACACAGTGACTGCAGAAATGAGTTCAGTGTGTCACGAGTGGTGATGATGGCATATAATAGGATATACATGTGATATATAAATAATAACCCACAGACCCAGGTCTGTTGTTCTCTTGAGTCTGTTCTTAGACTCTTTATGAGTCCTACTTGACTAGACAGCACCTAACAACAATAACAAGACCTAATCTCTTCTAGCAATATATCCAAAGTATGTGAGATGAAATTTTGTCATCTTTACATCCAAGGAGAATTCTTGCTGTATTTTTTCTAAGATATATTTATTTGTTATTTATGACAGTCCGTGAGATAGTCAATATTCTTCTCCAACATTACAGCTCAAAAGTATCAATTTTCTTTGGGTGTGTTTCTAGGAAAGGCTATTCCTTTGAGAGGGACACCATGATTGGTAAGGTGAAGGATCAGAGAAAGAAAGCAAGACACTCAATGAGATGGTTTGACACAGTGTGACACAGTGCATCATTGGACTCAAGAATGTCAGAGATGATGAAGATGGCACAAGATAAGTCAGTGTTCACATCTATTGTTCATAGAGTCGCTAGAATGATGGTTATATCCATCTTGTTAAGGGTCTTCCTCTCTTTCACTTAAGACAACCAGACTGTGAAGTCTGCTCAGACTCTTTGCATTCTACACATCTTAGCCTTCTGTTTGTTTAATGTTTGTATTCACTAAGTTCTGTTTCTAGAGGTCTTGTTCTCTTTGCAGTTACCACAGTCCATGATATATAGTAAGTATCTAATATAGTTGTGAATTTAAAGCAGGAGTGGCATCCACTTCCTAAACAAGCAGCCTCTGGAAACTCTATGAACTTAGATAAATGTTTATAGTTGTAAATGGGCTTCAGGCCTTTTGTTCATAGGGTCGCTATGAGTCATACTTGACTTGAAGAAAATCAACAACAACAACATGTAATTGTTCCAATCCATGTGGTTTCTTCTGGTTCAACAGTGGGTTATTTATAGGAATAACTTCTTTAACTTAGTCTATTATTCAGGTTATGATCCTATTTTAACCTTCTTTGGAAAGACAGTTAAAAAATCCACTAGATATTATTTACTACTCATTTGAATTTAACAAATATGACAGCATGATTTACTTCCTGGTTGTTGCTGTTATGTGCCGTCGAGTCGTTTGAGAGTCATAGCAACCCTATATACAACAGTCCTAAACCCTGCTCTATCTTGTGCCTCTGACACACCCATCCCGATTACCCCAGTCACTGAATCAATCCACCTCATAGAGGGTCTTCCCCTTTTGCTCTGTCCCTCCACCCTCCTAAGCATGATGTCCCTCTCCAAGGACCTGTCTCTCCTTACAACATGTCCAAAGTATGTCAGACGAAGCCCCAGAATCCTTGCCTCCAAGGAGTAGCCCGGTTTAACCCTCTCCAGGATGAATCTGTTTGTTTTCTTGGCAGTCCATGGCACATTTAATACTCATCTCCAGAACCACAGCTCAGGTGCCTAAATATTTGGCAATACTGGAAGAAATATATTATGAAATCATGTCCTATTCATTGTGTTGAACTGAGGGAAATTCCTAAAAAAGTTACTCACGAGGCCCATTGACTTTGATATCTCCTGGAAGAATCTTGACCTTGGAATGACTGAAGATGTAGGAACAGAATTCTGCAACTTGTTGGACAAATTCAGGATCAAGTTCACTATCATCTAGAGCCTCAAGTTGGGCAAGCTTCTTCCGTTGACTGGGCAAATCAAAAACAAAGCACTTCTTCCTGGGAAAGAACCTTTGTATACACAGACGGGGCAAATTGAAAGTTTTTACTCTTTCATCAGTACCTGGAGAAGGAAAAATAATTTTTACTTGAGATAATATTGATATTCATTTTAAACTTGTTTCGTCATTAAACTTTCTTTCTTGTTATTTATTTAGTTATATCTTCACAAGTTATAATAAGTAAGAAGATAGAAAGTAATTTAGTCAGGGAAAGGGAAAAAATAAAAGTAGTCCCAGGAACTTGGAAATAATGACAATCAGTACTGATTATATTAGTTTATTCTAATTTTATAATATTTATTATTTGGTAGGGTATCTATGCGATGAAATGTCATGATGAGGAAACCATACATTTAACCACCTACACAAAAGAAGGAATTTTCTGTATTACTTTCCCTTTTCTTTCAAAAACTGAAGTCCATGTTACCTTCCTTTAGACGTAGTGAATTTTCCAGATATTCATCTGCTGTGATGGCTTTTCCATTTGCTTCCAATTCTAGGAAAAAATCCCTCAGAGTCCACACTAAGTCTGGGAAGAAGCTCTCAAAGTGAGCTACATCTTCAGTCTCATCAGAGTCAGCTGAGGATCTTGCCCTGAGCAGATTTGTCAGTTCTGTTACTTTGCTGAAATGCAATTAAGGATAATTGGTAGAAATAGTATTGTAGGCAGTCTCATATTCAGTTCCATGTTTTGGAATCTTTACATTGCACAGCTTTAAACTAGTCCTTCACAGTTAAATTGTGGCCAAAAAATGGTTCTGGAACAAAATAAAATATTTAAAATTTGGGTGAACCTCAATAATTATCCTAACAGGAAAAGTTGCAGGTAAAAGCCATGCTAGAAACTTAATCTCTCACACAGAAGATAATGGAAGCATATTACTTGTATAGCAACCAAAGCTCTGCATTGTATCTTGAGAAAGCCAGAAACAGCGATGCCTCATTTAGATAGACTCCCACCACTCCCCATTCACCACAGTCCTGTCGATAGTCCAATCTCTCACACCAGGCTCATGAAAGGGCTTACTACATCTCTACTGAGTGTCCAGTTCCAAAGTTCTATTTCTATTATTACTCCCTTTCCAATTATTGTGGTAATCTCACATTTGTGGCCATGACTGAACCAGTTTGAACTGAAGTTATAAGGTTTTCCTCACAGGTATAGACAATTCATCTTTTCAACAGTAAAGACATGGTTTTTCCCCTTGTTCTTTCAATAGGTAGAGTATTTTTAATTGCAGGTTTGATTTACAAACAATTGGTGAGGACTTGAATCTCTAAAGGATACTAGAGTAAGTCTATAGCCTCCTGGTTGATTTTGTTCATGATATTATATACAAAGATGCTGCTCAGCAGTAAAGCTAGAGTAAAGATGTGGGTATCATTCTCCTCAGAAACCTGGAAGTAAAAAAAGATTTATTTAAATTAGGGTGTTCCTCAAAGAGTCATTGTTTAAAATAGCCGCGGATTTACAAATAACAAATTACATAAAAATTATTATCAGACACATATAAACATTTATTGCTTCTATCATCCTATTTGATAATTTTATTTACAATCATATTGTTTATTCATCAATTTCTCTCTTAATTTAAAGTTATATATTTGCAAAATGGGTAGTAGTCAAAGTTAGTGAGAAAATAAGTCTTTTTAAAAAAATTTTATTTTATTATTTTTTGTGTGTACCGTCAAATCAGATCTGACTGGTACAGGAGGAGATTGTCCCTCCTTCTCCAGCAGAGCATCTGGTGGACTCGAACCATGTATCTCTGGGATTGCAGTGCAGCTTGTTGCCACTAGGCCACCAGAGCTCCCTGAGAAAATAAATCTTAAACCTTATGTTTTTTAAAGTATTTAGAACAAATTTGTCCTGTAAGCAAGACATTACTTTTGAGTTTAGCTCAAAAACTAACTCTACTTGGGTTAGTTGTTTTTGAGTTTAACTTATGATACTTGATAAATAGTTTTCTTATAAAGTAGTTTTATGCACCAAGCAGTTTATATTCGTGATTCAAAGCAATACTGTCAGCTAAGTTTTATAAAAAGGAAACTATTGCTAATATTGAGGCTAAACATCTTTGAGTACTGGTAAATCAAAAACAAAAGGAAAACATTAATAAAAGGAAATTCAAGAGGAAAGTCCAGAATGTGCTGGATCCAGTTTACATCAATTCATGACATTTGATTGTGTGTATCTCTTCCAAATTAAAATTAGTCATGAAGATATAATTTAGGAAATTTGTTAGTGTTGCAAATCAAGCCCACTAGACTCACAGTTGAACATTAACCATACCACTGTTAGAAAAATCTCATGTATCCACTACTCAGATTATGTGTCAGATAAACCGTAGAGAAAATATGATCTGTGAGACTTGAATATTATATTTTTAAAAGTATTGGCATTTCTATTACTTGTCAAAATAAATCTTACAAGTATTAGTGCCCTGATATAAATATGTGTTCATCTACCTAGAGAGAGAGATCATTGTTCTCTACAAGGTGCTTGACAGTGATTCTCTTTGTTTCCTTTCTCTCTCACACACACATTATTTTATAAGTCTAGATTAGTTGCCTAATTGAACATCTATGCAATATGCCCTACTCATAATTCTAGCTTGTTAGTATTTTTCTTACTTCAGAGATTCTATACTTAGAATACTTAAAAAGGGAAAATAATATAGGGATACCCTAGTCAAATAGAAGTACAAATTTTGGGGAAAACAACTGATGTCAAGAATATTCAGAAATGAAGAGGTTAATCCAACCAAATCCTCTTTCCTTACCTTCTCAACATCCCCCAGGCCCTCGGTGTCAAGCACAACTAGAGTGTGATTCGGCTGACTGGGGTGTGGCACACACCACATCCAGATTCCCTTGGTGTGAGACTGCACTGTGGATCCAATGGAGAACCCTGCAGAAGGAAATAGAGATAACTTGAAGGTTGTAATAGCAGAGTGGTTTTGAAGTTTGAGAGCTTGGTAAGTGAGCTAAGATTTAAGGAAAGTCGGCTGAAGAAATAGCAGGAAGAACTAGAGAAATGGGAAAATGATTATAGCCAGTACCATTGGTTTGAAATGAGATCTATTTTAGAATAATATCATGTTCATAATAATATTTATAGCTATATTTATATAAATTGAAATGAATTAATTGAGTATTTTTTTTTTACTTGTTACAAGTGGATGATACATTTTTTCAAAGGAAATGGTAAGATTAAAAATTAAAGTGATGTATCAGAAACTGCAAGGGACCTTTTAAACTTCTAAAGTGGAGCCCAGATATTAGCTTTCAATAGTTATCCCTTTGTTTAACCATTACCTTCTGAAATCATCATGCTAGATAACGTAAAATAATCCTACTAGATATTAAGTTGAGCTTTTCTGGTGTTACTTACCCTGCTTTCTCCCAACCAACTTGTTCATCAGGTAGGATTTGCCTGTGCGATAGAGGCCCACAATAGCCACTATCACAAGAGGCTGGGTGATGTCAGATAGGACCTTCAGAGCTTCCTGATTAACCACCAGTTGTTCATTAATGTTCTCAATGAGGCACAGAGGGCCTGGCATGTGGATATCTGGGGCCATATCCAAGATGTTACCTTATCTGCAAGAGGAGAAATGAACTGAAATGGCTGGTTATTGATTGTTGTTCTCATTAGAAGCTACGCGATCAAGTGTGAATCCTAACAACCCAATAGGCCACAGATCTGAACCCTATTCTGTCCTTTGTCATGCTTATCATTGTTGACATATCTGAACCTATTGATGACTGTGTCAATCCATAACTACAAGCAGAATGTTCCTTTTCAAGGGATAGCCCCTCTGGACAATAGTGACAGCAGCAATGGACATGAATGTGTCAGCTTGTGAGGCTGGCACTGCATAGGACAAGGTTCAGATCTTTGTTCATGTGGTCACTATGAGTTATATTTGGCTCAAAGGCATCTAACAACAACAGTATTTCCTGACACAAGTCAATTTTAATTTGTGTTTTGTTATTCTCTTTATGTTCACAGGATTTGAGCTTGTAAGAAGCAAAAAGACAACTAACAAGTATGCAGCTGGAAACCAAACAAGGATTAAATGCATGAAGCTGTGTCATAGTTTAGATATTCACCAAAGGAGAGAATTCCAAGGAGTGAACACAATTGCCGAACAGTAGCAGAGTGGTCAAGTCAGGCAACAGCTATTGAATTGAGGGAAGTAGGAAACTCAGGATACACAAAAGGGTGAACAGGAAGAATACAAAAGAGGTTAAGAATGTTGAGAAAGTGAAACTGATTTTGTCAGAATTGCTTCTTTTTTTTTTAAAAAAAAAAAGTTTATATTGGTTTATTTACAAAGTTCGAACATTGCTTTTCACACTGTATCTTTCCCATTTTCTTCACCTCCTCCCCACCTACCAAATTACGATTAACCTCCCCTTCCCTGCTCCCAGCCCATCTTCACCCTTCTGCTTCCAACTGTTCTATCTTGCATCCAGAACTGCTACTTCTTAAAATAAAACTCTTCAAAGTACATATGTAGCTGTTTTCCTGAAAAGTCTGCATTGTTTACCTTTCAACTATTATCTCCCTCCCACTCCTCCATTCCCTCCCTACCTCTTCCTCATTCCCTCCCTCCATTCCTCTCCCTTTCTCCCCCCTCCATTCCTCTCCCTCTCCCTCTTCTTCTCCTTCTTCTGTCCTTACCCATGTAGTATGGACAATATAACTGCTCTGTGGGATTTTTACAGTTGTGACTGAAAGCAGATTGTCAGGCCTTTCTTCCTAAGCGCCTCTGGTTGGTTTCAATTGCCAATTTTTCAGCTAAGAGTCTGATTTTTTAACCATTTGCAACCCTCACGTCCACCTCATTTAAAAACATTAGCATGTCCATTAAATTTCTTCTCCTTACAGCTTTTTCTCCTATAATTAGTGAAATTATTGTCTTTGAAACTTTTAGACTGAGGCTTGAACCTGATAATCAGATCTATCAAATTTTCCCAAATAGGTCACAAATCAGACAAGCAAGAGAAATGATTTCAAGATATTTAAGTCTCTCAGTTTAGTCTTCATACATGTGTGTGTCTAGTTAAACAATTTCTACTTAGAGACAGCTGGCATTTCAGAATTTTGCTGTCTAATAACTGACCCTTAACCAATAACTTCCCCTCCTGCCCAAAATCTTACCTTGACTGTAAAAACGATGTAAAGATACTTTACAACAGTAAGAAAATAGCTTCAATGAGTGTAGTAGCTCTTATACTTTAATTTAGCTGTGTGCTTGGCTTTTATATTTCACTCTTATCCTGTGCTGGGAATTTCCCATTTTTAAGAAAACTTGAGTTCAGAAGGCTGTAAAATTAAATGTAAGTTAACCAAAGGGCAGAATTGTTAAAATCTCCAAAAGGAAACTGAAACCAGAAAGTAAACTCACTGCTCAGACAAACAGATGTAATTTCCTGAATGTTGGCTAATGGGCTGCAAGCACTTGGGCCTGGTTTCCCAGAAACTGCCTCTTGTCATCGAGAAATACCCTTGAGTTCATGTCTACATTCCAAAATGTTCTAACTAAAACAATGACTATTTGCAATTTAAAAGCAGGGCAAAATGAAGCCTCCTATTCTTTGTTAAGTTTCATTTCCTGGACTATTATGTGCATTTACATAGAGCCAAGTGTTTGAATTTCACATGGGATTAAGAAGTATTTCCATAATATAAACAGTAGCAAAGGATTTATACTAATCTACTGCATTGACAAAGCACTTTATAGTTACAACTGGAGAGTATTCTAAAAATTAGGACTTCTAACATGATAGGGTCTAAATCAAATTTCTTCTTTTCAGTGATTCAGTTTGGGTGTTTTAAAATAGCCTTTGTCATACAGTAAAGTATGTCACTTCTGTAAAAAGTTACAGTGCATGTTTGGCCAAGATATGAGGCAAACCCACTGCTTTCTAATTCATTGTGACTCATCAATATTTTCATCAGTTTCCCCACGCTATATACATCTTTCTATGGACATATTGCCTCATATTTCCCCTTGTAAAAACAGTGAGGCTGTTTTGGAGGTAGTTGAATCTGACCTGTACTAAACTCACAAAGGGAGGGGGGGAATCCCTGTTAACCACCACATCAACAGCACAAAGCTGATTCTTATCAGGCAAGTTATATCCCCCATGATTCTTCTTTTTCTGAAAAAAATATATATTTTTTTCTGTGTGTGTACCATCAAATCAGATCTGACTGGTACAGGAGGAGATTTACCCTTCTCCAGCAGAGCATCTGATGGATTTGAACCACGTACCTCTGAGATTGCGGTGCAGCTTCTTGCACTAGGCCACCAGAGCTCCCTCTCTATGATTCTCCTAACAACTCTAATGACTGTCCCTTCTAGAAAAGACTCTGAATATTCTATTACTGAAGCTGGCAATTTGTTGTAATGGCAACACAGAATTCACGGAGAATAATCATGATTATAGGGATAATTAGGGGAGCAACAGGTTAAAACTCAATCTGAAAATGGGGTACAATATTTCAATGAGGACAGTTTCTCTGGAGTTCCCTTAGACCCTTTGTCTTTCAGCCTGACTGGGCCCTGTCATATGTCTCTGAACTTTAGTTCTGCTAACTATGATGTCTCCTCACTCTCATGTTGCCATTAAGTTGCAGTGACTGGGCTCTGGCTCTATGGGGCAGAATTGTTGTGTACTACTGTTAAGTCAGAACTGACCCATACCTGACCTTCCAGTGGGTTTTCAGAGTCAGTTAATCTCATGGGAGGAGATTGTCTATCTTTCTCCCATAGAACAGCTGGTAAATTTGAACCATGTGCTTTCAGAATTACAGCGCAGCTTCTTACCACTAGCTCACCAGGGCTAGATTTAGTTAAATTCTGTATCACACAGGTTTCTGATTCTGCATCACCTCTGCTGCTGCTGGTGGTGCTGCTAGTTGTAAGGTCGCCAAAGAAAGAGAGTTTATTGAGGAGAAACTGCTAGGCTGGCTCTTAAGCATAAACCAGGCCTCACTGAAACTTAGAGAGGGGATTCATATTGTCTTACAAGGAACTTGTGGAGGGGGAATGCTCATAGATGTTTTTTACAAGATAGGGAAGTGGATTTGGATCTGGGAAAGGGGGTAGAGTAGTTTTACATCCTTGTCAAAGAGAAACAGTCACAGCTGCTGCTTCCTGTGATTGGAGCCATTCTAGGAGAAGAAGGAAAGGACTCTGCAGCCCTAATATTCCAGCCTTTTCTTAATATTGATTGGGGGCATTCATATTCTCTTCTATAACTACTTCCTACTGGATGGGGGCGATGATCTAAAGGAAGGGAAAATTTGGGTGTTGATTTTAGGCTGCAGAGTTGGTAGACGTGATGGTGGAGGGTAATGGTTGGTACTCAGTTGATGATACAAGGAGTTGACGGACAGTGTGGTTGGCAAAGGTTCTCATCTGCTCCTGTAGAAAGCTAGAGAGAAATCTCATGAGGACTAAATGTTAAGATTAATTACTGTAAGAGAGCCAAGAAAGGGGAGAAACCAGGGTAGCCAATTTCCAAGAGAGAAAATTTTTTGTTGGCTTTCTATTTACCATTGTCTTCACTGGGTTAGTTCTTAAAGTTCCTTCACCTTGCATGTGCCTACCCCTGATTGGTTTACATAATAATACCATTCTTCTCCTGGGAAGAGACAGATTCCTCCATTTTTTCAGCAATTAATAAGTTTAATGCTCATCGGTTTTGAAGAGTAACTGCTGCTACTTGATTCTACCTGATTTTTGTAGCAAAATAAGCAGATCTGCTATTTGCTCCATATCATTACTGCTTAGGAGAGTTTGTAGTAAAAGTGGGTTGCTTTAGTAAAAGTGGATTGCTGTGCCAATTCCCCCTATACCTGTTCCTACGGCTACTGTAAGACACATTCTCAGTAGTAGTGGGGCAACAATGGCCCATTTTTCTCTGATGGGAAGAGGAACAAAGCATTTTGAACTTGGTCTTCTGTAAGTATAGAGATTTCAGGGGTTAAAAAGGCACTTATGCAGACTCCAGTCCAATTGGTGTGCAAGCAACAGCAAGCTGAATTTCCACAGATGAAAAATACACCTGAGGCAGAGCACTGAATGGCACTATTAGACAAGGAAAGGATGTAATTATAATAAGAGAAGGAAACTTTGCCCACTAGTTCTGTGCCATTAATTGAAAGTAGGCAGGTAACACTTGAGGTAGGGAGAAGGATTACATTATTTGTTAGCTGGCCTATGGGAGCTATTCTATTGGGGTTCAAGGTATTATTTTCTGAATTATGTGAAACAGGGGTAGACACATATGGCCTCAAAGTCAACAGTCTTTAGCAAAGACTGGGCTGGTATGACTTAGAATTTGAAAAGTGGTATTTAAAAAACATCTTATAGATGTTTCTGAATCAACTAGGTGGGTGAGTTTCTTTAGTCTTGAAAGATTAATGTCTTTATAAGGTTGTGGGGCAACTTTGGCCTAGGTTATTATGGATTTTACTACTTTCTCTTGCTTTTATTGTCAAGCTTTGTCTTAGACTCTTCCCCCATCACTTACAAAATTATGAGTATAGTAGGTCCAATATTTG